CTGATTCTCGTGGTGGTTCCCCCCGCAGAAATGCCCCAAGGGCCAAATCTTATGATGAAGGGAAGGAATCAGCGGAGCATACCGGGGTATTGCGGTTGAGGGGATTGCCATTTTCAGCTGGGAAGGATGACATAATGGATTTCTTCAAGGACTACGTGTTGTCAGAATCCTCAATTCATTTCACAATGAATTCAGAAGGGAGGCCGACCGGGGAAGGTTTTGTGGAGTTTGCTAGTGCAGAAGACTCCAAGGCAGCGATGGCCAAGGATAGGATGACGCTTGGAAGTCGATACATAGAGTTGTTCCCCTCCACGCATGATGAGTTGGATGAAGCAATATCAAGAGGACGGTGATTCCTTGTAACTTGGCCATCAATTTGGTATTGTGTACTACCCATTATCTTTTACTTTGTTGCTTCAAATTTTGCTTGACGACTTTCAGCCAGATTTTCTAGTTGTTTTGGGAGAAGTATGATTTATGTAAGGGTGAAGTTTTTCATATTTAGCTAGTTTTCTCTGCTGATTTAGGTTTATCCGTTGTCTCGCGTTCTGTATCTGCTACGTGACACATGTTTTGCATTTGGATGTTGCTGAAATTGTTGTAAGGCATTCGTGGGCAACTTGTCGGAATTACGCTGAGCTGAGCCAGAGGTTCTCTCGTGAGGTGGTGCATTACGTGTCATTATACAAATGCTGTGATATATGTGTTAAAAAGTTAACAACTTAAAAAATAAAATTTTTCACTACTTATATGAAAACACTGTGATATATCATACGTGTTTTCGTCACAATAAAAATTTTCTTCTCTCTTACAACCATTTCACCACATGACAATCATTTATTAGACGTGTGATTCACCTTTTTAACACTCGAAAACAATTAACTGACTGAATAATACCACTGAAACTATGAAATGATTGCGTGAGAGAATATCTCGAGCCGACTGAAATCTATTTCGTTTTAGGGAGAGAGAAATTAGTTGATATGAGATTTTATTTTGGAATCCTCATTTTCTGCAAAACTAGCTCATTTAGCAGATTTTCCAACCTTGCTTGCTTAATTCTTACCATAGTCAACCCCTCTACCACAACTACTGGTACAAACCAACAGTATATGTTATCTCAAGCTGTCAATTTGAATTATATATTTAAACAAGTACTTATTGGATTTTTAATTTGACGATCTAATATATTTCCTGATTAATATGAGTGAGAGATTTTTATCACTATTTTAAGCTAGACCAAAAAAAGGAACGATGATTTAAACGTGAAACACAGTTTGGAGATGAAAACTTTAATCACTAATACAATCCACACGGCTTATAATTTGAATGATAGTTTTACAACACAACATTTGGTCATCTTATCTTAACAGGGAACAAAACTAGAAGAAAGTTTCACAAGAGGGTATGGTGTAGAAAAATACCATGGGAACCTCCAAAAAACAAGATTCATATTTAAATAGTAACATGAACATGAAACTCCATTGACCCATGTTCATAATTTCACAAAACCAATCCCAAACAAATTTCTTGTATGCCATGACTTTGTCCAAGTATAAAGGGACACGTGTACAAATATTAAATTCCTGCATTTAGGATTCCCTGAAAAACACTGACATTAATTGTCTTGGAAAATTTCTAATAAAAAAAGGGGAAAAAAACAAGAGGGGCAGGGACAGCTCCACCATGCATGAATCAATCAATCAATCTCAGAAACCCTAATAAAAAAAGGTTGGCTTGCAGACAAAACAGCGAGTGACTATCATTCATCAACTAATTAGATAACTATGAAAATAAAATAATCATGAATTTAGTACCATTATATATCAATATATAGATAGAGTAATTTTGCAGTGGGTTAGTTAAATTGGTTTAAATAGCAACATAGAGTTTTAGAAGCTTGCGAAGCTTTCTTCTTGTTAAGTTCAAATTCTTTTTTATAACTATTTTGAAGTTCCTACAACGAGATTAGTTGTTTCTTAGTGTTTCATTTTCTTTTTCAATGTTACCGAATATATATATATATATATATATATACAGGGAGCTTAAGGGGAGGGATCCCCATTTTTTTTGAAAAAATGGGGACACGCTCCCCACCGTTAGATTGACTTTAATGAAATTGTGTGGTTGAGATTAAAACACAGGCCATAGAATCTCAACCACAGGATTTCATTTAATTCAAATCCAACGGTGGGGAGCGTGTCCCCATTTTTTTGAAAAAATGGGGATCCCTTCCCTCCCCTTAAGCAATTCCTATATATATATATATATATATATATATTATATATATATAATCGAAAGAATCTAAACTATTAACTGCTCCTTGGGTAGCTGCTCGTCTTGCTCTTGCCCATATTCTAAATTGATATATTTGTATTGTAATCCCTAGGGTGCAGAGGAAATTAAAATATATTCATTCCTTTCTTTTATCTCCCAGATATTTTTCTCTGTTTATTCTATCATTTTTCTTCATTTCTTAGCTTGGCGGGAGAGAAATTCAAATGTTAATTTTATTAATTAAAGATCTAAGCTTTATTTTTTATATACTGAGTACTGACCCAGTGATTTATAAGATTTGACTTCTCTACAGGTATATGTGGGATATATAGGAAACCTGAATTCAAAAACAAACAACTTGCAAGCATAGGTGAATACTGATACGAATTATATATAGAACAACTCCCTATGCTAATGAGATATTTTTATTTTTTAGGTAACCGGCCCATTCATTTTCATTCATACTCATTTATTCTCATTCCCTTACCGTAAGTAAAAATTACTCTAGAGGGAATCACATTGGACTAGCCTCCCACAACAGGTTAGTCACTAACTAGATATCGAATTAAACACATAAATAATTCATTATTAACAATCATATAAGTTGAATTTGATATATCTCACTTATAAGCAGGAAAAATCCAAGGGGTTCTATTAGATCCCGGGATCCTAAAGTCAAGAAATACATTGGGGAATGTCGCAGGAGGCTATTTGTTATGGGACCTCACCTAAGAATACGCACGAATTGTTTGATGCAATGTCTCTTAGGAAAAATTATGCATGCCTTAACAAGTGGTGCTCAACAAGCCTTGGGACAAGCCTCGGCAACACGCCTTGGCAAGTGATGCTCGGCATCAAGCCTTGGAAGATATTAATAGAACCAGGTAGATAATGCATACCAATTGCTTGACTAAATGCCTTAATGAGTTTACATTGAGACCCCATGAGTTTAGAGTCCTAAATTCGTAATTGCTTATGAGTGAAGAGAAAGAGATCTATATTTTAACCATTTCCAAACCTAATACAATATGTAACCCTCCCTTCACCCCATAATTAAGCCAACTAGCTCATATTTTTTGTTCATTTTTAACAAGTTTGTTAGAGACCTTAGTTTGATTTATTTTCGCATATTTCATTTTGAATCCCTTCACAAAAGGTAAAAGTTGGGTATCTCCGTGTTTTCATATTATTGATAGTAGACCTAATTTTTTTTTTCAATTTAGACTTTTATTTGATATATTTGTATTATTATTAAAATAATAATACAGACGATATTTATATTTTAATTTAATTAAAAAATAGAGGTTTTGAACTCGAAACTCAACGTTTGAAGATGATATATCAAAATTCGTATTTGAAAAGTAGTTACTTTTTGTCAACCAAAGAAGAAATATCAAATATACCTTTTTAACTTTGGTAAAATAAATTAAGGTTGTAAATCAACTTGATACAAAACAATTTGAGGGACTAGTTTTCGACTCATTTTGGCTTGTTCGAGCTAAGTTCATCAAAAGCAATAGTTGAACTCAAACAAAATATTATGCTTGTTCAAAAATTGAGCCGAACTTGATGAGCTTTGACATATTTGATATAAAGCCCGTGAGCAGCTCGTATGTTTTTATGAGATAGCTCACGTTCACCTGGTTTATTTAAACTTAACTCATAGAGGTTAGACATTTTAACTTATAATTAACCTTCTTCGGATTGATAACAAAAATATCTATGGAATACATCTCTTTGAAGACACGTCTTACTATTATTTTATTTGTACTTGCTTGATTAATTTTTCAATGTTCATTAAGTAAGCAAAATTAGATTCGACAGTTGAGTTGAGTTAAACACAAGCTCGACCGAGCACAATCCACAAACGAGCCGAACTAAGTTTTTGTAATTAAACTATATGCAAAAGACTATAGGTTCGTTTGGAAGTGCATTTAAAATAACTGAAAGCGCTTTTGGTGAAATTGATTTTGAGTTTCAAAAGCACTTTGAGTGCTTTTTAGAAGAAACACTAGATATGTGTTTCTTGCAGGGAGTATTTAAAGTGTTTTTCTATGATCTAGTTGGATTTTTACTAAAGGTTGGTTTAAAAAAAAAATTCACCAAAATCGCTTTCAGTTATTTTAAAAATACTTCTAAATGAACTTCATACAACTTAATTAGTTAAAAGCATTTTCCCGAGTTAAGACTCTCCTTGCCCTTGTATTGCTATTATAAAAATAAAAAATAAAAAATAAAATCTACTTTTAAACCTACTCGCTCTTCTAAATGGAAAAGTATTCACAGAATTAAAAGAAGGAAAACTAAAATGAATAAGGAAGGCATTATGTAATGTTATTTATACCATGTTTTTATATTATTTTATGTGTCATCTGATATGAACAATCATATCATTTGAAAAATTTGCAAAATCCAAGGAAATAAAGGAGAAAGACTCCTCATATACCACAATCACCATTTAGCTAACTAGTTTTTCTTAATTATTAGTTTATTAAATAATAAACTAAATTTAAAAATCTGATTAATTCACAATTTGTGACTATTCACATTAAATACCACTTACAATGATATGAAAATGTGGTAAAAAAAATATGAGACGAATAACATTAGTTTTGTCCTTACCGACTCTGTTTCTAGCCCTTGCTTCGGGCAGCGGGCAGCCTTTGCCCGAATTATCTATCTCTCAACTTCTCAATCAATATAAAGCCCTATCAGCAACATATGTATTCATAAGTGTTAGATCCCACCTCTTCTCCTCCCCCTCCATCCTTTTTCTAGGGTTTTATTTAGGGCTTTTCAACTCTTACAGAGGTGGGTTTTCCCCCTCCTCCTACCTTATTCACTCCAATAATCCTCTATCTTCTGTGTTCCTTTTTCCTTCCAAAATATAGTAGCTAGGGTTTTTAGTATTACTGCTAATTAACCAGATTGCTTTTTTTTTTTTTCTTCTGCATCTTAAAAAATATATCAGGTTTAATTTTGTTTTTGTGCCTTTTTTTTCCTTTTGTGTCAGAAATTGTCTGAGTTGCAGTCTCCATGCTTAGTGGGGTTTCTTGATATGGTAGGTAGTTGTAAGGTTTGATTGAAAAGGCTTTGTTTCCAAAGGCGTGTTTGATTATTTTCAGCTTTTTGGACACTTTTCCAGTCAAATTTTACTTGCTTTATAAAGCATCCAATATATAGGGTTTAGTTTTTCTCTACTTGTTTGTTGAAGTTTTTTTTCTTCTCTCTTGCTTCTTGGCCACCTTCAAATCCTTCCCCAATTCTTCTTTGCTCTCTTCAACCAATGACTCCGTCTGCAAGAACAAGATCAAAGACAAAAACGACAAGAGAGGCAAAAACAAGAACTCATTTCAAGAAGAAGCTTGGCCGGCCAAAGACTGCTACTGGTCAAGATATTGCAACTCCGACGACTTCGCCTTGGAATTCATCCTCCGTGGTCTGCAACGATGCTCCGAAGATTCAAGGTGGCGTAGATGATTTGGAGGCTGTTGACGATGTCTCTACTACAAGTGCCTGCTCCACACCGAAAGCTCAGAGATTTCGGATACCGGAGATTTTGACCTGTCCACCGGCGCCTAAGAAGAAGAGGGTGATTTCATCAAACTTCTTGTTTCGGAGATCTCCAATCGCCTTCTTTGCTCCGCCGGATTTAGAGCTCTTCTTCTGCTTTGCAAATGGCGGTATTTCAGTTTAAATCAAACTTTGTGTTACATTTCGTGGAATATATACATAAATAATCTCCGTAGAAGGTTGTTATCTTTACCATCAAATTAGTTTTAGTTTAGTCTCATGGGATGAGATTTTGAGTTGGGAGAAAGCAAATTATTGGCCCTTGCTTTTTCTTTGCCAACTATCTAAGTTGGGTTTTCAATTTCTAGGGTATACTAAGCAGTAATTAAATTAGCTGGGGCTGTCCAACTAATTCATTTTAGCCTTTTTTTTTTTGCTTATTTTTTAATGTATTGCTGACCTTTTGAGTTTGGTGAGTGAAATGTAATGGAAGGGTTTGAAGTTTGAGTGTGGTTTGTTAAGTCAAATTAGTAAGAGAAGCATAGACACTTCTTTTATTGTGTGTAAACCCTTCTTAAGTTAATGAAGATTGAAAGTTTATGTAGCCATTTTTAGTATATCTTTTACATGTGATATTCTATAATAAATTTTTTTAAACTCTAGACCGTAAATTCGAACTTTAAGCGCAGATCGAAAAGTACATTCTATCCAACTTAGTTAAACTCAAGTCCGCATGGTGCAAATTATTATGAATATGAAGGGGATGTTTGGGTACATTATTGTATCAATATATTGCATCATGACATGCCGCTTTGGACGTTGGATTCTTACGGAGAGGATATAATTTTGAAGTGATCATTTCTTCAAAATTCAATTTGTGGGTACCTCTTAAACCCCACTAACCAATCATTTGGCACCACTATTTGTAGTCTAACAAAATTATATACTCTATATTAACGACTAATTGTAAACTGATGAGGTCCACCATTCTGATGGAAAAACTAGTGATCAGTCATCTATCTTTTTACTGTAAAAGAGTACTTCCACAAAATGCATGTCTTCCCTTCCTACGTCACTTTTGGAATGCAGCAAGGAGAATATTTCAGTACTTGTGATTTATGGATGGATAATATTTTCCTCATTCCCGGCTGGCTAATTTCGTATCATATTTTTTAGAAAAATTCATTTAATTTGAAGTTTATTAATTTATATAAATAAAAGCAATTAATTTGTATTATTAAAAAATATTACTTGTTACCATATTCGTTTATTTGTTTGACACTTGTAGAAACTAAACATTTCTACAAATCAAATTTATTGTTTTGCCAAATAATATAAAAATCACGATAAACAAAATAATTATGGGTGTAATTCTTATTATATGATGAAGTGATGCTCTATAATGAGAGAAGTATTGTCATGAATGTATTATGTGGTAGGAATTAAATAATTTATAAACGTAATTTCTGTATAACACAAAAAAATAATACTAGGAAGATCAAAATTTTAAATCAAATTTAAAAATCAAACGATGTGTCACCAATAAAAAATAAGCACGTTAATTAACACTTAAGTTATAATTCCATCATCAACGTTCATATTATTTAACTTACAAAATTTGATTTAAAAATTTAATCTCTTTAATACTATTCAATATAAAATAATAATTTATATAATACTTATTATACGGTGAAATGATGCTCGAAAATGAGAGAAGTACTGTCACGAATGGATTATGTGGTTGGAATTATATAATTTGTAAACGTATTTTCTGTATAATATAAAATACTGCTTGCATAATAGCCTAACAGGGACACAAAGGGACTACGACTCTGTGTGTGTGTGTGTGTGTGTATTGGTTTGGTTTTATATTGTATATTCAACGGTGAGATCATGTTGTCAGACACTTGGGTCTGAGCTGAGTCCGACATAAAACAGAGAATCCAATGAAGGGGCTCGTGCGGGTTCGGATCATTTTCACAGTACAGAATCTCAAGAAATTTCTCATCATTCTTTTACCTGTACACTTTGTTACTTTGTGCTTCATTATAAGACTGTAAATCGATTTGAACACTAAGTACTGGTTTGGTATTGAGATGTTTTTATAAAAAATGAGTATAAAAAAAGTTGAGCTCAAAAAGATGTTTGGTAAACACTTAAAAACAGCTTGTTTTCATAGTTTTTGGTGAAAAAAAAAATTGATAATGTGAAGCAGTAAAAATAAGCTTATTGTCACAGCACAGCAGAATCAATTTTTTTTTTTCAAAGCACAACAATACTAAATCAACCCTAAGAAGTAAGGGGTTACTCTCTCTTCTACATTACTTTGTCGTTAGTAATTAATTAGTATTATAGTTTAATGATTTTTTTTTTTACTTAGAATGTACAATATGGTGCAGGTTAAAAATTAAAACCTGAATCTTTAGCTTAGAAAATTTAGGTTCTAACTCAGAAACAATTTTTGTCACATCCCGGCCTGGGCTCCCACCACATCCCGGGCTCGACTCCGCCTTAGCACGATATTGTCCACTTTGAGCCCCGACCACGCCCTCACGGTTTTGTTTATGGGAACTCACACGAGAACTTCCAAGTGGGTCACCCATCATGGGATTGCTCTTCCGCAAACTCGCATAACTTTGGAGTTCTTATGGAACCCGAAGCCAGTGAGCTCTCAAAAGGCCTCGTGCTAGGCAAAGATGGGAATATACATATAAGGCTTGCAGAATCCACTCACCTGGACGATGTGGAATGTTACAATTTTTATCATTTAATAATTTTAGCTTAAAATTTTAGACCAAAATTATTAAATAATGATTTTAACCTAATTTTTTGGATAATTTTTTTAAATGAGACTTTGGATGCGGTCCCTAGTTATGAATATTCTTTAACTGAAACCTTGTTGGTTTTCAATTTTTGATCAAAGTCCCTGAAATTAATATGATAATTGATTTCTATGTACGTTACTATATTTTTTAAATTAAAATTTGAAATTTATAGTTGTTTATATTAATGAGATTTTAAATAAAAAATCATAATTTGTGGGATTAAAAATATTAAAATATAAATATACTATTGTGTGTGTGTATATATATATAAACATGGGTACATTCATCAAAATTAACCAAAAAATTATTGTATCAAAACATGGGTAATTCTTCAAAATCACAAAAAAAAGAAAAAGATATTAGGCTTAATAAAATTAGTAAATTTCTTCGATTAAACGTAACATGGATACATTCTCAAATCAAAGAAAAAAGAATGTACCCATATAATTAAGTTTAAAAATGGATTAGAAAAAAAAAAGGTACATTTTACATCTAAAAAATTGGTATATTTAAGAATGAGTACATTTTAAGATTAAAAATTTGAAAAAAAAAATATATGAATGGTACATATAATTAGCATGGGTACATTTAGCAAAATTAAAAATGAGTACATATAAATAAATAAAATGGGTACAAATACAAATAAAACTTTATAAAATATGGGCACAAAAAGAAATTAATATATGGGTACAAATTAAAACTGAAAAGGAAATTGGTACAAATTAAAAAAGGGTTGCAAATTAAAAACGAGTACAAACTAAAAATAAAAATATATGATAAAAAATTTAGCCATAAATATAAATATACTAATTGTAACATTTTTAACATTAAATGAATATATTTAGAAATAAAAATATTTTATTATTAAAATAATTAATGATGTTATTAATACCAAGCACCTTGATCAAAAATTGAAAAAAAAATAAGGTTTTAATCAATGGAGTAGTAAAATGAAGAATGATAATCTAATTTCTCTTTTTTTTAAAGGCCCATATCCCACTCCCCACCCCCCCGCCCCCCCCCCCTTTTTCCCAATTCCAACGCCCAATCCCAATTCACCCATTCCTCAGCTCCCCAATTCCACAATTCCTCAATCTCTAAATTCTCAATTCCAATTCCATATTCCAATTATACCCCAATTTCATACCTCAATTTGTTTTAAAATTCTCCATACCACCACAATTTGTTTCAAAATTCAAGCAAGTTTTTGGTATTCTAATCCAATTTCAATTGAATTATATTAGACATTGATGGAGATTTATAGTCTATTATTGATATGTTTTATGTTTGTTGGTTAATTGATATGCTGGAATTTGGATAGTATTTGTTGGTTGGTTAATTGATATATGTTTTTATTAATTGTATCCTAAAAATTTCACGATTGAGATAGATTGGCACTTGAAGATGAACTTGATATTTATATTCAATTTGCACGTTCTGATAATGATTTTTCTCAATTGTGGAGGATCAGTGATCTTGCTAAAAAAAAGTTGGAGAAAGGGTTGCATCAAACATTTGCATTATTGTGTTGACTTTGGTTTTACTACTGCAACTACTTCAGTGGAGATGACATTTTTTCGGTATGAATATCATTAAGGGTCCACTCTGCAACAAAAGGGACATCAATGGTTGAGTAACAGCTTAGTTGTCTACATTGAGGAAGATGTTTTTTCTTGTATTTGTAATGAAGCTATCATGGAATATTTTCAAATTATGAAACCTCGTCGTGAACGACTTAACTAGGATTTGGTAGCTTGTAATGTTGTTTTAAGTATGATGATGAATGAAATGTATTATCATTTAACTTTTCAATATTATTTTTTGTTTATAAATTTTTTGATCTTTATCATTGAGATCCCTCAAGTTTAAATTTTGGATCCCTCCCTCACTACTCAAGGCTGACAAGATCCAAGTTAATCCGAATCCTTTTTTACATCCTCCACAGAGAAATTAAAAATGTTGTCATTACGTGTGGACATATAGGGTGAACCATATTTAGTTAATGTTTATACTTTCATTTTAGGGACACCTTAAAAGTGAAAAAATGGAATAATATTGTCGTACGTGTGGGTTTGACGGAAAGGGAGTAGGATGAGGAGGCAGGTGGGCATTGGAATGAGGAACTAAAACAAGGATTATCATATGGTCCCTTAATTATTCTACGTAGAAATTGCATCTCTCTCTCTCTCTCTCTCTCTCTCCCCTAAAGTGGAGAGGTTAATCTTTCAAATCCAATGATGCATGCAGTATCAATCTTCTTCTATCAAATACCGACTTTATAATTTCATCATGATTTATAAAAGTAAAATTATAATATTATTAACATCTCCAAACTTTTCTAGAATCCGAGGTTGCCCCACCCTTCACTTTTGGGTCAAACTGGTTATACAGCAGCAGTGGCAATACTGCTTAAGATTCTTTGTTCGACTCCTTAATTACTTCTCTCTAACCAGTTTAATTTGATCGACTGACAGATGTTCCATCCTCTCATCTCACGCTCAAAAACTTGCCACCATGTACAAACTTCTCTTTTATCCTCTCCTTGGGAGTAACTTGCATGCAAGCACCGGAGACTATCCATGCAATAATTTTTTGTGCAGCAATAAGAGATAAAATTAAGAGAAGTGTGCAGAAGGCAAAAAAGTGATTTACAAAAATCACTCACCTTTGGATAAGTAATACACCTTTGAGGTTAACATGATTGGGTTCAAATCATGATAAAATTAATCCATGTTTCTACCTTATATATGAGAGAGACTTTTAGGTTTATACTAAACAC